TCTATTAATTTAACAAATTATATTCCTGCTGCTTGAATTATATTGCCTATAAGTTTTCTTATATTTCTTTCTATTTTTATGCTAATAGTAGCTTTTCTGAATATAGTTATGCTAATAGTTATATTTTTAATAATTTATTTTGCATCTAAGTGTAAGCTGGAAATTCATTTGTTAATATTATGGATATTATATTAGAAGAATGTAATCATCCCCTTTCAGTTCCCCCCCTTTTAGGCTACATATAATCAAGTAGCTTCGACCTTTTCTGGAGCAAGATATTCCTCCTGCTCCTGTAATTTCCACTGTTATCCTCTCATTCCACTCCAGTTTGTCTACATCCTTCTCAAACTAGATCCAGATGATAATAAGCACAATAAAATAAATTTATCCCTGAACTATGGCTCTAAGTAGCTGAATCACATATTTTGAATATTTTTAGCTGAATTGTTGAATAAGTCAAACTCAGCATATTTTTATAGACATCTACTGCCTGCTGTCCTAATAATGCCATTTCTTATGGGGCATCTTGAAATCTAATACAGCATTTAGTGTATTAGATAAACACCATGATTGGTGTGATTCATGTTAAATGACAGTATATATTTCTATGTAAATAAAATAAAAACAGAAAAAAATATTAATAAAAATGTAGATTCCAGTTTTGATGGGACCTAAGTTTTTATTATTATTTTTCTCATAAGCTTACTTACCATATCCAAGAGTGAAAGATTGTGAAGGAAAGTATATTTGAGAGATACAGAGGAGTAGATTAAATACTTACATACAGGCAGTATACCACACATTAGTGCTATATTTTATAAACGCCTATTATTTTTCAGCAGATAAAGCTATATATTATAAATCCTGACTGATTGTTTTGGCAGAAATAACATTACTCAGTTTATGATCTGATTGATTTGGGGGCATAAGTACTTAAATCTAATAGGGACAACACATTTTAATCCTGTCCTTCCTTCTTTTTAATGTTGGCAATCACTCAATTGATAAGGCTCATCATCGTTAGACAAGATATTAATTTGAACTTTCCAAAAGATCAATTGTGGGATGAAACATTTCCTGATAATATTCATAGAAATGCTTCCTCATGATATTCATGACAGACAATTAGAATCAATGAGTGTCTTTCATACTTGTTTGTTCAATAAACTACTTGTTAGTACCATCACGCCGTCTTAAAAAGCCACAAGGCAAGAATAAAAAAAGTCAATAAAAAAGAATAAAAGAAATATTTGTAATCAGTTTTAAAAATGGGCACTATAGTTGAAATATTTTCTAACAAAATTCAATTCTATTCTATTCAATCTGTTCATAGGGTAGAAGTGTAGATTATACCTCACAGACGATAAGAATTTCATACCCTCTTTTCTAAGTGAGCTGAGAGTCTAACTACACAATATATAAAATATGTACCATGCTGCTTCAATTCTAATTTTTTCATTTACTAATGGTTTACTAAGGTTTACTATGGTTGCTTAACTCAACCTGACATCATCCTCTTTAAATTTCCATAAAGGAAAGATGGAGAAAGAATGAGTTTCTCTTCCTAAAAAAATAAAATAAAACAAGAACAGATCATGTGACATTGTCCCTAACAACTGGTACTGGAACTGTTGTTACTATAAGTCAATGTGGTCACTGGAGGGCACAGTTTATTACCCCATTGCTTAACCCTAACCCTAATCCAATTAACCTAGTCATCAAGGATTACCTATATTAAATGATATGATACTGAGATGTTTTTAAAAAGTGCAGTATTAAAGAGACACAGAACAAAATAACAGAGTTGGAGGGGACCCTGGAGGTCTTCTAGTCCAACCCCTGCTCAAAGCAGGAGACCCTATACCATCCCAGATAAGTGGGACATCCATGATAACAGAAGTACCCAAAGATACATTTGAAAAATAAAAGTCATTCATGCAGATTTAGGGATTTTTGTCAAAGACCTAAATAAATCTGTACTTTTCCGTGAAAAGAAAAGAGAATTAAAAAACAAAGTTTGATGCAGATTAAAACTGCCTAAATCTTACAAAAACTATTACACTAACACTGCCTGTCAGGGTTAGTGCAGTGCATTGGTAGCATAAATCCCTCTTGGTGCACATTAGAAAATGTTTTAAGATGTTTTGTTCACAAAGCAGCCGAAATCACTTTGTTGTGCTGGATCACTTTTTTTTTAAGTGTCTCACCTTTTCTTTTAGGCTTCTTGGGATTAGGAGGAAGGAAAAAAGAAAATATCTTGTTCAAGGAGCAGAACTGTGAAATCATTTAAGTGCAAGACCACAATGCTAGTAAAAGAAGTTCTAAGAGAGAAAAAATGAAAGAACAGCTAAATTCTTCCTTTATTGAAGCCAGTTAATAGTTCATAGTGGGACATATCACTGTCAACAGGAAAAAAATGAAAAGAAAATCAAGCATGGCTCAGAATATTCTGTAGCAATGGGAACTTGGTCTGCAATGATCATGCCACAACCCATATAAAGGGGTTGCCTATTAAAGGGGACAATATATTGAGCAATCTTCTGTTGAACTGAAGGAAGCAGTTACTTATTTATTTTCTGAGCTCTTAATCACCATAATCACCTTAATCACCTTCACAGGCCAAATCCACAGGCCAAATTTTCCTTCATAAAAAATCATTTTTGTTCCTATTAATCTTTATAAATGTATTCCCAAGGTCTGTCACATATTATTTATTCCCTTATGCCTGTGATATTCTGTTGGATACCTTTGTCCAGAGTTTTTGTCCATGGTTTAGAGAAAGTTCTTATAAATAAAAAGAAAACATTCTTGAATTGAAATTGCTGGAAATAAGATATATAATGTTTTGCATTCAAGGCAGGGGGTCTATTATTGATTTCTCTAATTATAGGAGCATTTGAGTAACTATCTCATCCTTTAATAAGGAAGTGAGAACATGGAGGATCCTAAGGATGACAGAAATTTTACTCAAAATACTAATCAATTGTACTGTGGTTCTTAGGCCTTGCATAATATGAGGAGAAAAATCACAATATGGGTGACTAAATTCATAATAATGGCAACTGAAAAAGTATGATGTTCTTATAAATAAGTAGAAAAGCTGTGCCTCAAAGAAGCAATTTTGAGCTCCTCATAAAAAAACACTGCAGACCCAAATAACTCTGGAATTTCACTTTACCAGGTTTAATAATGAGAGGACATAGGTTGGTTTGGGAGGCATGACTGAGAGGAGGACATATTCACTAGTTAGCAAATGTGATGTGCAGAGAATCATGAAATACATGTTTGCTTTTAAAAGGTGACTTTTGATTAAAAGGAAAGACTTTCCAGAAATGAATTGTTCAATCATTTGCATGTTGATTCATGTTCTGTTCTGTGGGACTTAGTGTCAGATAAGATAGGATAGGATGGCCACTTAAAGGTGTTTCCATACTTAGCCCAGACATACTTTTTCTGACAAAGTAGAAAAAGAGTTTAACAGAATCTTCATGTAATATTTCATATTATGTAATAGTGAACTCCCTAAGGAATGATATTGAAACATCAGTACAGGATAAGTATCAGTATGTGGTAAGGTCAATGTCTGGAATACACTACCTGACTCTGTGGTTTTTTTCCCCACACCCCCAAAAATTTAACCTTAAGACTGTCTACTATTGACCTCACCCCTTTCCTAAGAAGTCTGTAGGGGGTGTTTATAAGTGCACCAACGTGCCTACCATCCCTGTCCTATTGTTTCTTTTATATATTTTTTATTTTTCTTATATGTATCCATGTATTCATAACTATGTTTTTACTTATACCTATTATCTTGTAAGCAATTGACAAATAAAATAAATAAATATCCTTTAAGTATATTTCAAAGCTGCTAAAATCAGCATGCAACCTTCCTCCAATTCAATTCAAAGATAGGCATTGTATAATTCCAGTGATCCATGGAATGCTATCAATGTGTAGGAAAAAAGAGAAATTTGTGCCAGGCTAAGTAGACTTCCAGTATCCTGGCAAAAGAATAAAATATTGACTTAAGAATTGACTGCTGGCACAGATGTAGAAACAAGTGTCCCTAAACACTAGTGTGCAAAAATTCCCCAAATCCCTTACCAGTTGAGCTGCAGTATAAACTTATAAAAATATCATGTGCAATTAAATGTCACCTGATGAAGAATACTTGCTTTTCTTTGGTGAACAAATAATACCATATTTTCTCACACTACAAATTAAGATACAGAAAAAAAAAATTCTGAAGAGTGGTCTTCTAAAGACCAATATTGATTTATGTGGGAAAACTGTGAAAAGTAAAATAGCAAATCCAGAGGAAATCCATCCATAGAAAATGTCCATCAGAATGTACTCTGAAGTGTTTTGAAATAAACATAGTATAGACTATGGCTTGGGGCCAGGGTACCTGAGGGACCCCCTTTTTCCTAGAGTTTCTACCTGTCCAACCAGATCAATGGTGGGATTCAAAAAATTTTTTACTACCGGTTCTGTGGGCATGGCTTGGTGGGCATGGCAGGGGAAGGATACTGTAAAATCTCCAGTCAGAGGTGGTATTTGCCCGTTCTCTGAACAACTCAAAATTTCCGCTACCGGTTCTCCAGAACTGGCCAGAACCTGCTGATTACCACCTCTGAACCAGATGTAGTACAATGGGCATGCTGTAGATCCCTTCAAGCAAACAGTGTTGGCTGGCAGGTTTTCCACAGTGGCAGGGATCCTCTTTAGAAAGTGCAATGATCCCAATCCTATTACCCTTTTGTAAGGCCCTAAAAATCTGGCTATGTTCCCGAGCTTGAGGCACTGAATGTGGGGATCGCCCCATTTCCTGGCTGTATTGATAACTGGCTGAGTATCTGGGCTGCTATATATATTTATTTTGGATGTTCCTATAGTTTTATTGGTTTAAAATGCTTTAATAGTTTGATTGTAATATAGTTTTGAATTGTAAGATGCCCAGTGACTGAGATGGGTGGCTATAGAAATTGATTGATTGATTGAATGAATGAAATTTGCTTACCTGTAAAATAAGTGTTTGTAGGCAACATAGAATTTGGAAACTTGTAATACCCATTTCCTGGAAAACGGGTTCCTTTTTTTACATTTACAGTGGATGTTACTAAAGATATATCTATTCTTTCCAGCTGATAAACTGGAGGAGGTCCATTAAGTTCTTCAGGCTCATGCCAAGTTATCTTTATTACAGTGCTGTTTATTCCTTCAGTGTCAGGTGCTATTAGCCGAACTGGAGCTATTTGGAAAGAAGAAAGAAAGAAAGAAAGAAAGAAAGAAAGAAAGAAAGAAAGAAA